CTTGAGAAATCTGTTTAAACTTCTCGCCTTCATTTGGATTCTTATCAGGGTGGTACTTCAAAGCCAGTTTTCTATATGCCTTCTTCAATTCTTCGTGAGTGGCATTGGGTTTGACTCCCAAAACATCATAGTAAGTGGTTTCTTTCACCATTTTCTACAGCCGGTGAGAGGGCAGAGGCCCACGCAGTGAAGCGGAAAGGAGCGCTTAGCTGTGTGCTGCTCTGGCAGCCGCCGCTCCTCCGCCTCCCACTGAGCGTTCTGGAAAGTTCCTGATTCTTGGTTTTTAAAAATATTTCCTTCCTTCTACTTACCTGGGATTTGTCTTTCTTTTTTCATTTTTTTAAGGTAGAAGCTTAGGTCATTGATTTGATCCTTTTATTTTTTTCCAATCTAAGCATTAAATGCTACAAATTACCCTTGAAATACTGCTTTAGCTGCTTCTCACAATATCATTATGCTATATTTTCATGAAGTTTAAAATATTTTCTAATTATTTTTTAATTTCTTTTTCAACCCATGGATTGTTTAATTTCCAAATATTTGGAGATTTCCCAGATAGCTTTCTGTTGATTTTCCCCCTATATTTTTACTATCCTTGATTTTTTGATAATGCTTTGTAGGAGATCACCACTTGTTTAAGGAGAAGGCACTGATCTGAGCCCACATTGTATGTGTGGGACCCACAGGTCAATCTGGAGGCCACTAAAGCATAGTCTGGTGGGCAAATGTATGGGTAAAGTGTGGACTGGTCTCTCTTGGCTGGTGAGAAATGGGGCTAGCCCTGCTGCCATGATTTTCTTATTCCAGTAGCAAGGGTAGGTATTAGAATTTACTAGAAGTCTACATATGAGACAACCACATCTTCTATTCCCCTCTGCCACTTATACCTAAGAACTCTGGTAGCTAGGCATCTACCTTTACGTAGGAAACAGAATCTTTTTCATAGAAATTGAATGGCCCCAGAGAGGCCCCTAATGCCAAGCTAAATTCCTTGCAGGAAGCATTAAGGGTAGATTTCCTGGATCACTCTGGTAGACCAGTAGACTTTACAACAGAGGAAGTAGCCATCTTTGTTCTCTGCAACACCCTCTACAAGGTAACTACTTCAAGGCTTATATCACATTTCCTATTGGCTATCTGTATTCAACATACAACTTCAGACTTGTAATCTGTGAGTGATATGACAATACTTCTAAGAATAAAGAGCTGTCAATTTTAATATATGTATAGATGGCTCATGGATAATAAGATCTACCTTCTAAAAGGTGGAACCTTACTCATAATGTCAAGACTATACTGTTAAATGCTATTATTTATTTATTTTGCTATCTTATTTTCATTTTATTTATTTATTTATTTTTTGGCCAGAGCTGGGTTTGAACCCGCCACCTCCGGCATATGGGGCTGGCGCCCTACCCTTTTGAGCCACAGGCACTGCCCTATCTTATTTTAAAAGGGCAAATGCCCACATGTGAATTGGTGACTGGATTACATATAATTTTAATTTTCTTCTTGGTGCATTTCTGTGTTTTCTAACTACTCTACAGAGAACATAAATTACTCTGTGTTCAGATAAATTTTTTTTTTTTTTTTTTGAGACAGAGCCTCAAGCTGTCCCCCTGGGTAGAGTGCCATCACAGTGGCATCACAGCTCACAGCAACCTCCAACTCCTAGGCTCAAGCGAATCTCCTGCCTCAGCCTCCCAAGTAGCTGAGACCACAGGCATCCACCACAACGCCCGGCTATTTTTTGGTTGCCACTGTCATTGTTGTTTGGCGGGCCCGGGCTGGATTTGAACCCACCACCTTAGGTGTATGTGGCTGGCGCCTTAGCCACTTGAGCCACAGGCGCCGAGCCCAGATAAAATATTTTTTTTTAATTTTAAAGGTAAAAACTAGTAGAATTGCAAGATTAATAAGAACATCATATGTCATATAGAGAGCGTAACTTTAAGGTATAGGCATTCTGAAATCAATGATTTAACAGCAAAATTGTGTTGATCAGAATGGTCTCTAAAGGTGTTTGCAAAAGAAAGCATTGGTGCAAGCCTTTAGTAATTCCAATTTTGATTTATCCTTGAAGAACAATTGCAGGAATCCTGAGAACCTTCTGGCTCTATTCCCCACATTAGAATTCTTGGAAAATTATGCTATAGTCATGGATTTAGAAGGATAAGAATATCATTGTTTCTTCTGCTTATCCCCCCATCCCCCGCCTCCCATTCCCTTGTGATCATATTCCTACTGGTGGAAGGGCAGGAGATGTTAAAGACTTTCCACATACCTTACTTTTAGAGAGGTGACAAGTGCATATGTGCCATTTGTGCACTAACTCAATTGTTTCCTCTCTGTTCTGTCCACAGGCAGCTGGCTAAGAGTCTTGGACAGGCTGGTGAAATCGAGCCTGAAACAGAAGGAATACTAACAGAGTATGGTGTGGATTTCTCTGATTTCTCCTCAGAAGTTCTAGAATGTCTCCCTCAAGGGCTGCCATGGACAATTCCACCAGAGGAGTTCAGCAAGAGAAAGGATTTAAGGTAAATCCTGAAACCCTTTGAAATATGATCAAGACCAAAGCATTTTAAGACAGTAGTCTCCATCCTCCTCATTTGCTGGCAAATTATAAACTCCTCTTTCCTTTTCCTAAAAAAAAAAAAAAAAAGAAGAAGAAAAAAAGAAAGAAAAAAGGAACAGCATGTTTCTACTTTTCTGCCTTCCAACTTAACTTTCCTAGGGGCTGGACTCTGATATTTCCATCATTCTACCAGTATTCAAGTTCAGTTCAGTTGAGAATTAAGTGCTTCTGTACCAGAGGTTAGCAAATTATAATCTACAGGCTAAATCTAGTCCCCTACCTGTTCATGTACAGCCTATGATCTAAGAATGGTTTTTACATTTTTTAATGGTTGGAAAAAATTAAAGCAAAAATAATTTTTATGAAAATTACATGAAATTCAAATTTTGGCATTCATAGAGTTGCATTGGAACACAGCCTGCTATTCATTTATAATTGCCTATAGCTGTTTCTGCACTATAGCAGCAGAGCTGGGCAGTTGCAACAGAGCCTATGTGGCCTGAAATGTTTACTTTCTGCCTTGTACAGAAAAAGTTTGCTGACACCTGTTATAGACCATTCTAATTTCAAAAGGTACAGTTGCCATTTTCTCTTTTCTTTGGTGAATGACATAGATCTGGTCAAATAAAGACAGTGTTATCTGGTTAGAAATGCCTTACTTTAAATGGGCCTCTTTAGGCACAGAGCAAATATTCAAGATTTCTGTACTTGGAGCCTCATTTTAAAGCTTTACTTTTAGGCCTGGAATTTGTTGGAAAGTACTTTTGTGGTATTTTTATAACAACATCTTCTTTGAAGATGTTTCTTCATTGTGGGATGTTAGTTCTTTTCTGATATTTCTCTTCAGAATTTGGTTTCAGTACTGGCATTCGTTTTGGATGCCACATGGAGATACTTAGAACCAAGAAACTTTTCATACAACCCACTGAAACTGTGAAAGGTTTTTTGCTAAGGTCATCCCATGTCAGAGTCTTTTCCACCACTTTGCTTGCTTCATGCAGCTGAACTTAGGTACCTTCGGTTCTTGGAGCCCATTGCTCCACCTAGTTTGTTGACTACTCCTTCTGTGCTCCCCCTTGGTATTGTATGTTTTAGGAATTTACTGTCTTTTTTTCTTTTCTTGCTATGGGTAGGCAAGGCAAAGGAGGTAGTTAGTCCTCTTTCCTACTTGTTAGTGTCTCTAATGGATTACACATTATGTGTGAAGTCACTTAGCCCAAGCTATAGTCTTGGATTTTAGCAGTAATGACCCCTTTACTGAACTCCTGCTAGTACATGGGTGTATTAACTCAGGAGCTCTGAGATCTTAAACCCATAACCTTAGCCTCTCTGAACCTTTGTTTTCTTATATCCAAATTAAGAGCTTTGTTTTCTGAGATCCTTTCCTGACTTTAGGAACCTATAAAAAGATTTAATGAGGAAAAAAAGACCAGCATCAATGACTTAACCTTAGTATTTGAAGTATAATTTAGTATAGCCATCTTGTATTACCTATCAAAATTGTAAAAATACCTACTCTTTCACTAAAAAACTCTACTTCAAGAATCCAGTACTCAAAGAAGTACAAGGACATATGTGTAACAATGTTCATTGCTACTTTATTATAAAAATGAAACATCAGAGATACTGCTAATGTCTATCAATAAAGGAATGGTTTAATAACCTATATTATAGCAATATGAGGCATTTCCTGGAGCTCCTCAAAAAGGAGCTATATTCATGTGAAGTGTCCTAGAAGGATGGCCATCATATATTGTTATGTGAAAAAAGCAAGCTTCAAAACAATATGAAGATAAACCTATTTTTGTAAAGTAAAATAATATAAAAACTGTATCAATGTACATAAATGCATGTATGCATATATATACATATAGATACATAAAATATATATGCATAGACAAAGGTCAAATAAATTGTTAACAGTGATTATCATAGGGGTGGATTAGTAAGGAAGTAAGGAAGCAGAATTTTACTTTTTATTTTGTATGAGCATGCACAGTGCCATATTCAAATTATTTTTTTTAAATAATTTTTATAACTTTTAAAAGATTATAAATGCAAATGTCAGAAAATAGAGGTACTCCATCTTTTCCAGCCTGACTGATAGGCTGCAGGTAAGCAGTAAGCATGTCAGTAGTTATAGGACCCAATATTACTCTAATTTCCCCTCTTGCAGGTCTACCTTGCCATTACTTTGGTCTTCATTGCCTTCTGGGTTAAACCCAAAATAGGAGGCCTTGCTCTGCAGAAGTATGTCTTTATTTTATATTTGTGCACTGTGAAAGGAACCAAAGATAGAACTTCTGGGATGCAGGGCAGTGCCTGTGGCTCAGTGAGTAGGGCACCAGCACCATATACTGAGAGTGGCGGGTTTGAATCTGGCACTGGCCAAACTGCTACAACATCAGCAGCAACAACAACAAAAAGAACTTCTGGGATACTGTCAGCTACGTGTATTAGCATAGTAATAGGGATAAAAAAAAAAATCAAAACACTTTATCCCTTCTGGCTAGCCTCAGGATTATATTTTTAAAATTCAAATCTAGGGTGGTGCCTTTGGCTCAAAGGAGTAGGGCGACAGCCCCATATGCCAGAGGTGGCGGGTTCAAACCCAGCCCTGGCCAAAAACTTCAGAAACAAAAAATAATAACAATAATAATTCAAATCTAATTTTTTTTGCTCCTTTGCATTTAAAATCTTTCAACTGCTTCCTGATACCTATAGCAGTAATATCTAAGCTTTGTTGAACATGCATTCCTAGTAATGCAAGTCTTTGTTTTAAAATTATAAATGAATTTACAACCTTACTAATCTATTAGTAAAAGTAGAAAAATAAGAGAGGTAGATGTATGGGACAGAATAGAGAGCCAACAGATGAATCCAACTACTTACCGATACCTGATCTTTGACAAGCCAATTAAAAACATTGAATGGGAAAAAGATTCCCTATTTAACAAATGGTGCTGGG